TTTCGGTCGACCGCTTCGTCATTTCGGTCGACCGCCGATTATTTCGGTCGACCGTGACATTATTTCGGTCGACCGCCAGACTCGTATCAGAGATCGGTCGACCGACTCGGTCGACCGACGCACTGTCTGTGACATTTTCCCTGTTCTGTGTATTTTTGAGTGTTCTGTTCAGGTTTGGGAGTTTAACTAGACTAACTGACATTGGTATTTAGTCTTGCTATGTACCCAGGCACAATAGATGACCTGAGGGCATCAATTGTGGATATATACACTGATATGATTATGAATTGACATAAGTAGTTTTCACTATATACCACATTGATATTTTTTACAGTTTCTAAGTCCTCGTGTTGGACTATGATTTATAGAAGTCCTTGAGATTTGGACTGTGAGTTATGAAAGTCCTCGTGTTGGACTATGATTTATAGAAGTCCTTGAGATTGATGTTTTGGATAACGGTTATATTCAGTTCATGAGTTATGAAAGTCCTCGTGTTGGACTGTGATTTATAGAAGTCCTCGTGTTGGACTGTGATTTATAGAAGTCCTTGAGATTGGACTGTGAGTTATGAAAGTCCTCGTGTTGGACTATGATTTATAGAAGTCCTTGAGATTGGACTGTGAGTTATGAAAGTCCTCGTGTTGGACTGTGATTTATAGAAGTCCTCGTGTTGGACTGTGATTTATAGAAAGAACCTCGGGTTTGTTGTTTAGAGATTTACAATTTGAGATACAAGGTATATACATGAGGGTTTCCTTGTTTGGATTATTTCGCTCGACGTACCTATGCTCGTGTTGTAAATTTCTAAACACTAAAACCCTCTTTAGTAGGATCAATATTGTTTTCTGTACTAGAACCTCGGGTTTGGTGTTTAGAGATTTACAATTTGAGATACAAGGTATATACATGAGGGTTTCCTTGTTTGGATTATTTCGCTCGACGTACCTATGCTCGTGTTGTAAATTTCTAAACACTAAAACCCTCTTTAGTAGGATCAATGATTTTAGATCTATTATACATATTATCTGTATTTCCTTATACAACGCGCCATGTTCCCTTGGGGTTGGTTGTGATGTTACTCGCTAGCGCTTTGACGCTCGTTGTCCCTCCCCCTAATAATATTATATTATATGAATAATAGTATAATATTATATTAATAATAAAATAATATTATTATAAAAATATTAATATAATATACAACAATAACAAATTGATATACCAAAATAATTAGATATATAATTATTTGAAAATAATATGTAATAGTTATAATATAATAATAATATAATATAACTCGTTAAAGTACAATATAATATTATAATACATTATACAATATTATATTGCATTACATTTAATACTTATAATACTATAATAATGTAAACTAAATATTATAACATTTTATTTACAATATAGTTTATTATAATTAATATATAATATATTAATAATATGTTTAATACTAATGTTATAATGGGTCAAACTAGTGTTGACAAAAAATACTTAACATGGTGTTTTGAAAATATTTTAAGGTAAACACACAACGTTATGTTGTTTTTTTACAAAAACACAACAAGGAAAATATAATGGGTCAAACTAGTGTTGACAAAAAATACTTAACATGGTGTTTTGAAAATATTTTAAGGTAAACACACAACGTTATGTTGTTTTTTTACAAAAACACAACAAGGAAAATACAATGTTATCCAAACGAAGCCTAAAGTATCTTCCTGATGATAAGAAGTTGGATTGGATTTAGCTATGTTTTGGGAACTCAAATTCTATAGTGTAAGGTTATTTTAGATCTTAGATTATGCAAAGCTTGCCGATCCTAGGAAGTTAAACAAGAGGAAGAACGAAAAGAGGATTGAGACTCTTTATGATCTAAGTTTATTTGAAAAAAGTGCAACAAGCTTAAACTTATCATCAGGTTCAATTTTAGCTAGGGGTGGAAGCGAACCAAATATTTAATAAACAATTCGGTTAATATTCGTCTAGATATTCGGTTATACTCGATCCGACAGTTTATTTAATATTAAATGAATATTTTTCAGTATTCGGCTTATAAACAAATAGAATTTAACTAATGGTACATTCGATTAGGTTGATTATTAACTATTCGATAACTTTTTATATGTTAATCCTATTAATTAAACTTCTTGCAAATATTACCCATCAAAATTTTTACTCCAACTTCAACCCCCATATATAAATAGACATGTTAAGAGGGTTTTCACATCACTGAGTTTCCACTTTCCGCTTCCAACCAAGTACCTATTTCTCTCTCAGCTAGGGTTTCCTCCCCGACGACGCCCCCCCTCCCCGCGACGACGCCCCCCCTCCCCGCGAAGACGCCCTCCTCCTTCCCTGAGCGACGACTCTCTCTTCCCTCTCCGAGGACCTGCGCTTCTCTCACTCCGACGCCCTCCTCCCTCCACAACGCCCTCCTACGCTGCCCTCCCTCCCCACGACGACGCCCTCTTCCCTCTCCGACGACCTGCGCTCCTCCCTCTCTGACGCCCTCCTCCCCACGACGATGCCCTCGTCCCTCTCCGCGAGGACGCCCACCGGTAAAAGTTACCTATGCCTTACAATAATTAGCTTCTTTTTTCGAACGTCGATATAAATAAACGAAGCAAATTCGAATTTGTATTACTACTCGAGTCAAATTCGAATACGAACACGAATAGCACCATATGAACCGAACTCGAATTTGAACCTCGTGTAACCCTAGCAGCAGCGTGATGATCTCTTCAACTGAGAATGGGGGAGGGAGAGTAGTTGGATCTACGGTTAGGGTTTGTGGGGGTGGGGGATGGGGGAGGGGAGTCGAAGTGAAGAGACAAATTCAAAGACAAAGTCGAGAGAGAACAACGATTGCGATCGGAAAAAAGAGAAACTAGATTTGGAAATGACATGTGCTAAGGTGTCATTTAGAAATCTTGCTCAAATGTATTATTTAGGTCTATACGGAATTGAGCCAAATCCAAAATTCAAAATAAAATTTCATTTTTCAAACAGACCATTATTGTTTTTTAAAGGAGCACATTATCTTTGGTTAAGCATTGGAATATTTCCTCAATTATTATCATACGTTAATTTCACATATTAAACATGAGTCAATTACGCTCCCTCATGTTGTCTGAATCAACTTAAGAATCAATCAAATCTTAATCAAATTAAGGGTCGAAACCCTTATTGGCCTAGTATCACCAAAACAAAATTAAGAGATAACCGTAACATATCACTTCTTTTCTATGCCTCAAAACATCCTTTCAACATTAAGAGGGTGCGTATGTAAGATAACATAATTGCACACTTTTTTTTACTTAAAAAGGTCTATTTTTGACTCAAAAGTAGGTCAGACGTAGGTCGGGTCGAGTCGTGGGCTGGCCCAGCCTAACCCCCTATGGGTCATGACCCGGCCCGCCCTATAGTGGGTCGGGCCCTACCCCGGTCCATGACATATCCGGATCACAGGGCGGCCCGGGTTCAACCCCAGACCTAGGATCACAGAAGTAGGCCAGGGCCACGCTGGCTCGGCCCATGCTCGACCCGAACCGGCTCGGCACGATCCCGCCCATGATATAATTTTTTAGTTAGATTACTTGTTCCTTTAGCTCATTGGGTCTGTAGTTAGTTGCCAACAAAGCGAAAATGCTATAGATCTTTGGTTCGTGGGAAATAAAACAGCAATCTTTAAACTCACTGTCGTCTGCTTGAAAGGATTAAAAGTTTAATACATATTAAAAATAATTTAATATAAGTTCCAATTACCAAAAAAAATTAGAAATAATTTTATAAGTGTAAATACAAGTTTAATATAATAAAAAATGTATAAAAATAGAAGAAAATTGGATGAAAAACCTACGGGTTGGCCCACAACCCGTTGGTCGAGGGCTGGGTCAAACCCGACCTACATCTAGACGGGTCGTGGACCGGACTAGGTCTAGTCCTAGACCCAAGATCAGAGAAATAAGCCCGGCACACTCTAGTCCGATCGGGCTTGGATTAGGTCTAGCCCGACCTTGAACCCGACGGGCTGGGTCATGGGCCTGAACCAGCCAGGTCCACCCCTACCAAAAAAATGTATACAAAGAAATTAGTGAAAAAATGTAAATGTAAAGATCATCAATAAAAGATGATGCAAATTAATTAAAATAATAAACAATTAAAAGTAAGGAAAATAATTTGTAAACTACCCCCACCCCTACCTTGCAACTTAGGGGTACTCTAAAACCGAAACCGAACCGTCGAAGTTGGTCGGTTCAAACCTGACCGTTAATTAATAAACCCTAGACTAGGGGTGGAAGTGAACCGAATAATTAATAAACAGTTCGGTAATTATTCGCGCAAATATTCAATCAAGTTCGATTCGGTAGTTCATTTATTATTAAACAAATAATTTTTACTATTCGGCTTATAAACGAATAGAATTTAACCAAAGATATGTTCGATTCGGTTGATTACTAGCTATTCGATAACTTTTTACATTTTAGTCCTATTAATTAAACTTTTTGCAAACACTACTCATCTAAATTTTTATTTACAAATGTTAACCCATAGGGGGATTTCAGGGCTAGGGCTCTCTCCTATCGTCTTCGAGATTCGCCCCTCCACTCAGCCGCTCGTCTCCAACGATCGTCTTCAAGATCTACCCCCTCCGCTCAGCCGCTCAACCACTCGTCTCCGACTCTTGTCTTTGAGATCCGCCCCTCCGCTCGGCCCTCACTCGTCTCCAACTCTCGTCTTCGATTGAGAACTCCGTTGCTGGAACCAGTTCAAAGATGGCTCCGGTAGTAATCCTTGATTGTTTTAATTTCGTTTACTATTTTTTTAAGTAAAAGATTTTGTTCTCGATTTCAAGAATTTTTTTTATTTCACTGATGTTTGAGTTTGGTGCAGCTTGAGGAAGAGGATTTGGAGAGGAAACTCAAGAAGGAACAGAAGGTATAATTTTGTTAAATTTTTGGTGTTTATATTACACATTAAGATCTGGGTTTTGCTTTTTTACACATATATGATATGACATGGAATACTTCATTGCATGCAGTGTCCTCTTATCAGTAAAAATCACATTTTTGGGACAATCTAGGAGTTATATAATTTTTTCAGGAGTCTTAAATGAACTATTATATGACAGAAGTAGACAGAAATTATTCCTAACAGTTTTCCCCAGTAGGAATTACTTTAAAGATTGTTTCTTGTAGTTTTTTTCTGTACTGTTCGTGCTTCTTTTACCTGTTTTGAAACTTCTAAGGCCTCGTTTGGTAGGCGGGAATGGGGTGGAATGGAATGACATTCTCACTTCCCATTCCTTCATACCAAACAAACCAACTTTTTAGATGTTGGAATGACCATTCCCAGGGAATGACCATTCTCACTTTTTGTGGGAATGGGCATTCCAAGTGAGAAGATAGGGAATGGTCATTCCCATTCAAGAGAGAATCAAATCAGTTATTTATTTTTTAATTATACCCCTATTAATCAACTGATTTCCACATTAGTAATTCTGACATCCTTTTCATATGCAATATGCATCAACTGTGGATATCATTCTTTATATTTTTTTTGGACCTATGAAAGATGCGATAATCTTTTATTTATTTTTCTTTAATTTTTTAAGACTAAGAAATAGTGAGTATTGTTTAAAAAATATAAATAGAACATACACTTGAGAGATAACATGCGCAATAGTATAACATGCACAGAAATTAGTATAACATATGCATAAATAAAATTGTTTAGTTATTATCATTAATGTTTATTTTTATCTTATTAAAAATATATGTTGTTGTAAGGACATTATTAGAAAATGCGATTCCATTCTCACTTGTGGACAAGTGATACCAAACATGGGAATGGGAACGAGATTTTCATTCTAGCCTAATTCTACAAAAGTACCCAAACATGAGAATGAGAATGACCATTCCATTCCCACATACAATCCATTCCATTCCTTCTTCCATTCCATTCTCACTTATGTCCATTCCCGCGTACCAAACGAGGCGTAAGTTCAAAGATCCGGGCTGTGTGATGTTTCTGAGGTGATATAGAAGAACAAGTACAATTAAGGAACTCAACGACAATCACAAAAATGTGGAATTATGTATGAACTGTTGTGATTTAGCTGTGCTGTCAGTCGTTGAATGTTACACTACATTGTAAAAAACACCTCTAATTTTTGGTAACCCAGTTTGCTGCAGATGTTAAAGTAGCTATCTTGTACACTTAAACATCCCCTTCTTTCCCGTACTTCACTAGTATTTTTGGCACGAATTTCTTCAATTGCATGATTTATATCTGTTTCCTTGGCAGGCTAAACTCAAAGAGGAAAAAAAACTGAAGGCTGCACAAAAAGCAGAAGCTGCCAAACTTCAGGTAAAATTTAGGTTTTGCTAGTAATTTTTTCTTTCTAATTTGAAGTAGCGTAGCTGTGCATTGGTATTTTTTCTGGAGAAATGGTTATTTATGCACAGTTATGATCAAATGTTTTTTTTTTAAATAATCTCTATGTTATCTGATAGGCACAGAAAGCAACTGAGGGATCGAAGAAAAGTGAAAAGAAGCTTCGGAAACGGGAAGCTGATGATGAGAATCCTGAGGACTTTATTGATCCTGTGACTCCTGCTGGAGAGAAGAAACAACTCTCCCATCAGATGGCAAAGCAATATAGCCCTAGTGCAGTGGAAAAATCGTAATGCTATTGTTGATTGAAGTATTTCAATAAGCAGAAAACAGATACATGATTCTAACTAAATTTGTTTTCTCTTTGTCCATCTAGATGGTACTCGTGGTGGGAGAGATCAGGATTTTTCATGGCAGATTCTAGCTGCTCAAGACCTCCTTTTACAATAGTAGGTCCTTTATTGTATTTCGTGCTCAAATTATTATGCTTTATCTAGAGTATTTTCCTTTTGTACACAAGAACCTTGCTGCCGATTTTCTTTCAATGGAAAATAATGCTTTAGCTCCGCATTTTTTAATTATATTGTTATTACTTTGATGAACAAGATGTTTTGGTGCTATAGTTGAAAAGACATGTATGTTTTTTGTAGTAAATGTTTCATCATTGTGTATGGAATAAACCTGAGAGTACTCTGCAGCCATCAATATATTAATGAAAGCAGAAATGATTCTTAAACTTTGTTCTATAGTTTATAGTTATTCATATCATATCATACTCCCTTTAAAAGAGGGAGTCGTGGAAAAACTTTTCATGAACTATACTGCCCCTATTCTTTTTTATATTATATTCTAATCATATATTAACTAAATTAATTATTATTATTAATTAATCATATTACATGTCACTTCAATTTTGTCTAACTTGGTCCTAAAACTTTCAATGTTATTGTAAAACTCTCATACTAATTATGAATAATGCATAATACTATATTAATAAATAATTGTAAGTTAATAAATTATTTTGGAATGAGTAGAAAATATAGAATTGTCCTAAAATTATACCATGACACTCACATATGAATATTATAAAGAGTATTCTTGCGTATATAGGTACAAACATGCAATTTTATAAAACGTTATGATAAATAAGTGCATTAAGATACAAGTAGAGGTACATAACTGTAACTTTCGTAAGCTGTAAGGTATTTAAGTTTAATTAAGCCTATAAAGATTTAAAGCCTTTGTTAACCACAAGCAATATTATGTGATCCCTTTGATAAATAATATTCATCGTATAATATCAGGTCAGAGGCTTAGCTTATATATTTATATAGTACAGAAGATGTGAAAAATTTAAGCTTCATATTTTGAATAATCTCAAGATTCCTTATATATTTATATAGTACAGAAGATGTGAAAAATTTAAGCTTCATATTTTGAATAATCTCAAGATTCCTATTCTTTTTTTTATATTATATTCTAATCATAAATTAACTAAATTAATTATCATTATTAATTAATCATATCATGCCACTTCAATTTTGTCTAACTTGGCCCTAAAACTTTCAATGTTATTGTAAAACTCTCATATTAGTTATTAATAATGCATAATACTATATTAATAGACAATTGCAAGTTAATAAATTATTTTGGAAGGAGCAGAAAATATAGAATTGTCCTAAAATTATACCATGACACTCACATAGGAAAATTATAAAGAGTATTTTTGCGTACATAAGTACAAACATGCAATTTTAGAAAACATGAGGATATTTAAGTGCATTAAGATATAAGTGGAGGTATATGAGTGTAACTTTCGTAAGCTATAATGTATTTAAGTTTAATTAAGCCTATAAAGATTTGAAGCCTTTGTTAACCATAAGCAATAGTATGTAATTCCTTTGAAAATAATATTTATCGTATAATATGAGGTCAGAGGCTTAGCTTATATTTATATAGTACAGAAGATGTGGAAAAATTTAAGCATCATATTTTGAATAAGTCTTAAGATTTTGAATTATAAATGAAATTATATACTTCGCTTAGAATCATACTCCCTTTAAAAGATGAAGTTGTAGAAAAACTTTCTATGGACTATATTACCCTTATTTTTTAAATATTATATTTTAATCCTAACTAAACTAAATGAATTGTTATTGTTAATTAATCATATTATATGCCACTTCAAGTTTGTCTAACTTGGTCCCTAAAACTTTCGATGTTATTGTAAAACTTTCATGTTAATTATTAGTAATGTCTAATAATATATTAATAGACAATTGCATGTTAATAAATTATTAATAGAAAAAGTAAAAAATATGGAATTATCCTAAAATTATACAATTATATTCATATACGAAAATTAAAAATATTATTCTTGCGTATAGAATGTACATACATGCAATTTTAAAAAACATTAGGATATTTAAGTGCAGCAAGATACAAGTAGAGGTATGTAATTAAAATTTTTATAAACTGTAAGGTATTTAATTTAATTAAGCCAATAAAGATTTAAAGCCTTTGTTAGCCACAAGCAATATTATGTGATCCATTTGATAAATAATATTCATCATATAATATGAGGCCAGAGGGTTACCTTATATTTATATACTAGAGGAGATGTGGGAAAATTAAAGCATCATATGTTGAATAATCTTAAGATTTTGAATTATTATTTATATACTTTGCTTGGAAACTTTTAGAAGAGGCTTTCAAATTACTACAAAGTGTTGGGCATCATATAAATGCTAGACAAATAAAATCCACGGACATTGGATTGCAATAACCAGGGTTATGTAAATATCTGTGTTATATGAGACAGTGTTTTAAATATCGGCCGCCATGTCGGACATGACGGCCGATATTGCGGATTCGGAGCCTAGCCGCCACGAAATTGTTGAATTTAATGCGTATGGTGTTTTTGATGTCATGTCGGGGACATGTCGGAAAATAGCGGATATATCGGGCGACATTTCGGCCATCAAATATCGGCCAAAATTCAGAAATATCGGTTTCACATTGACATGTTGAAATCATATGATTTGCAATAACTTTCACCTTCTATTTATGTAAAGTTTCACATTGTTTTCCATCCACTACCCATATGGGTGCTTGTTGTAGGTTTTAATTACTTGTTATTGCATGTGTTTTCTTTATAATGGAAGGCTATAAGAACACATGAATTTATTTGTATTAGGTGCACATATACTTCGGTTTTACTAGTTTCTTGTTTGGAGAAATGACAGATATATAATAAAAATCCTGCAATTGTTAGTCGATGCAGTTAAGTAGTTTAGAATAGCAATTACGAGTTTAATTTTCAATTTTAGTAGAATTTTCTTTTTGTTCCTACTAGTATAATGCACGCGCTTTGTATGTGAACATTTTTTTTTGTAATCTTTTTCTTTGAGTGTAAAATTATGAAGTGACTTTTATAATAACATAAATTCTTAAATTGAACAATTAATAAATCTTTACATTAATAAATAAAGTTGTGTATAAAGAATTGTATTAGTAATTTTTATATTCTGGATAATTATTATACTTTAATAAGAATTGTCTAAACATATGCAGTTAAGCTGTTCTAGTGTCTATTTGGTTTTCTTTGCAAAAACAAAAACTTGGTGGTTGCTTGTGAAAATGAAGACCTTCTCATATGTACTTTTTCATATGTTTAGACAATATAATTATCAAGTATGTGAAGATTCTATTTATGATATTATATCAACCTATCCGATATGGCAATCCGATATTTTTTTCATGTCCCCCGATATATCCCCGATTTCCGCTATCCGACATGAATTTTGGCCGAGCGACATGAACCCGACATCCGATATTTAAAACCTTGATATGAGATAATGCTCATACATAATATAACATTGTAATCTATAATCTCAAATATTAATGAATTTTAACATAAGATTTTTTGTCAAGATATTTACTTAAAATTTGGGAGAGCCGAGAGTGAAGAGATTTGGAATATGAATTGTGACTTTTGTGACTTGTGCTTTTAGTTTTGGTTTCTAAACATGACCCAATACCAACCCCACAATTAAATTAAAAATGACTTGATTTTGTTATACCAGCCAATATTTTCGATAATGATCGATATATGAGAAAAAATCACCAAATAAAAGAAAACAATATAAAACCATAAATATTATCAAGATAAAGTATTTAACCTTTTATATCAGTTGATATAGCGATATATCAGCTGATATATTGCCTATAAGAGCAATATTTAAAGGTAATTAGATATCATATCCTTGATTTTAAATCTCCAATAATTCTACATTATTCCCTTAAAATTTTAAAATTGCTTATAATTTAGGGACTAATATTGAATTATAAAACATTTGAGGGACAAATATGTAAATAAGCTAAATTTAAAGGAATAGTTAATTTCTTGAAAACTCTAAAACTCTCAACTATGAGGAATGTCTCAAAAAAACCACTCAGCTAATTTAATTTGACAGAGCTCCCTAACTATAGAAGTGTTATAGATAACCTCTCTCTCAACTTTAGTGCGATTTTAGAAAACACCCTTCGACTTAGTGCGTCTTATAAAAACTCTCCTGGTCTTTTACACATCTCTTAACAAACCCTCTTAATGTAAAAGACTTTAATATGTGATTTTGTTAAAATGACCTATTGAAGAAAACCATTTTAGTTAAAAAGAAACTCTCAACTGATAATAAAAGGATTACGACCAATTTACAGTTCTTTTTACCTCTAAATCTTCACTTTTTCTTTTATCTAGAAAAAAAATCAAGCTAATTCTTTTTATGGCTGAGGGATATTTTGGTCTTTCCAAGTCAAGTACTTATCACTTAATGAATTAGACTCAACGATATTAGTTTTGAGGGGTTAATTGAGAAAAGTTCATAGGGTTAAATCAAAACAAAAATTTGAAGTTGAGATAGATTAACTACAATACCCCAAATTTGACGAACAAAGATCTACTCATTTTAAGTAGTTGAGAGGTTGGGGGAGGTGATTTTTTAACATTTCCCCCATAGTTGGGAAGTTTTCTAAAATTAACCCTTAAACAAAGCACAATTTAAGACACATGTGACATCAATATTATAAAATTGGATTTTATAGCAAGTCTATCAGTATCTCTGAAAATTTTTTGCTACAAAATTCGCAGATAGAAATTTAATCTTTATTTGGGATGACTATGTGATCCTTATGGTTCTCCTTATCTTTTATGATTTGTAATATATTATTTAACAAAATAAATTAAGTTGTTCATTTTATATGTCTCACCTTTATGAAGCATATAGTTTGGATATGATTTTTATTAGATTCTCTTAACTCTTTAACCTAATTTTTTTGGATATTATTTAATATTGGATAGATCTAAATTATTTTGTTAAAATACAATCCATATGTGTACAAAATATGTTTAAATCATTCTCAAATTATATTTTATAGTTTTCTAAAATTAGAGAATAATCGTTTTGACAAATTAATTAATTTGTTGACAAATTAATTAATTTGTTGAGAAAATGTAGGAAGATTATTATATTAGATTTTAGAATTGGTCACATAATTTATATTTCACATAATTTATATTTTCTTTCTTGATTGAATTTGCACATTCTAACTTTAAAAATTCTAGAAAAAAGTTTTTGAATATCTATAATCCTCGGTCACTAGATAATAGAAAATGGAAGTAGACAATAGGTGCGAGTGATTTCTTTATAATTAAACAAAATACTCTATAACTAGATAAAACCTACAATTTTATGTTTGATGAATTCGAGATTATTTTTTCATTAATAATAATAGTTTTTTAGATATTGGTGCTTACATCATTAATCATTAATATAATTCCAAATCATTAAATTGCTCTTAGATCATTAATATTTTAAGACTTTAAACCTCACTAATTATGTGGAAGGTAAAGTGTTGAAACCAACAAGATTAGATTTTATATATTGAAATATCTGAAACTTTTTAATATATTATGATAATCATAAACTTTTTTGCAACTATGTTATAGTAAATACATAAACTAAAAGTCAACAATTATAATATTTGACAACGTGCATTGCACGTGCATTTTACCTAGTACTCAGAAAAGCATGATATATTAATTGAATTTATATCCTTGATTCACTTAAAACTTCTAAGGTTCAATTTGCTAATTTCCTTCAGTGAAACTGTAACTCTTTCTTAAGTATACAAATACCTGATGACTTAATCTTTTGTATAATACCCTCTGCAGGTCTTGCCTCCTCCAAATGTAACTGGGGCTCTTCATATAGGCCATGGTCTTACTGCTGCCATACAGGTGACTAAGTTAACTATCCTCGTCTAGTAGACCAACCTATTATTTCAGTTTTTTTTTAATTTGTTGTGGTGTTCTATAATAATGCAGGACACAATAATCAGATGGCGCAGAATGTCAGGTGACAATACATTGTGGGTGCCGGGAATGGACCATGCAGGCATTGCGACCCAGGTTTCTGATTTCCTTTGATATCCCTTCGTCATTCACCTCTAATTGGTGATTTATGCCAAAACCATGTCATTCATTTGTTAGGAAGTTGATACCTTCGTCATTCACCTCTAATTGGTGATTTATGCCAAAACCATGTCATTCATTTGTTAGGAAGTTGATACTTTTGCTTCTACACTTTTGACATTTTCACTGGAATAATTCTGGCTCATATAACTGAGGATAGCTGCAGAGTCCATCACTTCTTCTTGGATTATTTTGTTGGCATCAGCGTCATTCTTGTCATGTCATGACATTTCTTTAGGATTTGACAGTTCAATTTTCTGCTTGTTTAATTTTTAGAAATTTGCTCAGTACTTCTGGAGAAGGAAAATTTTCCTTTGCTATGAACTTCACATATATTTGCCAAACTTTGTTATTTCAGGTTCGATCAAAAACCATGACCTCGAAACACATAGTAATTGCAGTTTGTATTAAATGTTGCAGGTTGTTGTTGAGAAGAAGCTCATGCGTGAATCTAAACTTACAAGGCATGATGTTGGACGTGAGAAATTTATCTCTGAAGTGAGTTGTCAATTTCTATTGAATAATATGATGATGGATTCATGCAAAATTTTTCCTCCTTCAACCATATCCAGAATGTTTCACACTCGTGTATTAAATGATTGTAAATTAGTTTGCGGCATTCTACCCAGTGTTGAAATAATCGTGCTATATAACTCATAGTTTCTTGCGTTAGGTAACATATTAACCGTAACATTACATAATATTATGAAATAACACAAACACGTGCAACTCTACGCTATATCAGTGTACACTATTTCAATATAATGTATGCTAACTAATTATAAATTGTTTCAAGATAGTAGACACTATTTCAATAAACTATATTAAAGACTTGAGAGTATTTTCTCTGTTTGCTATACTTAAGACTTGAAGTAATCGTATTTGCTTTTGTGGTGTTTATTGAGCCTTGATGGCTTCTTTGATTGTTGTGATGGATGTTTAGTAACATCATTATGCTTGTTATTGTGAAGTTGAATGCGAAATTATGAAGGAGACATGTAAATTTGTAGTTATATATTGGGTTAATTATAGAAAACTCCTATTAACTTTTGGGGAGCTATAGTAATCAACTATGTTTATTAGACCAAACCTCCTGAACTTTAGGAGTCATTGCACAAACCCCTTCATTAAATCTTACATGAAAATTTATCTTTTAATCCCCTTATTAGCACCATCAACTCAAATGTGTCACTGGTAAGCACAATACCAAAAAAAGAAGACCGG